CCAAAAACAACATACATTTAAGGTGAGGTATGATAAAGCTCATGGAGCAGGGAGAGAGAGGACCTAGTAGCAATCAGTGAAGAGGCGGGGCCAAGAGCTATGACTTGACCCCTGCAACCACAAATAGGTGAGTACACACACACACATACACACTACCTTCACTTCCTAGGGTAAAAATAAATTTCACATGATACCATTCTTTCTTCTTCTTTCAACAAACCGGCCGTATCCCACCGAGGCAGGGTGGCCCCAAAAGAGAAACAAAAGTTTCTCTCTTTAAATTTACTAATTTATACAGGAGAAGGGGTTACTAGCCTCTTGCTCCTGGCATTTTAGTCGCCCCTTACAACACTCATAGCTTACAGAGGAAGAATTTTGTTCCACTTCCCCATGGAGGTAAGAGGAAATAAACAAGAACAAAAACTAGTAAGAAAATAGAAGAAAACCCAGAGGGGTGTGTATATATATGCTTGTACATGTATGTGTAGTGTGACCTAAGTGTAAGTAGAAGTAGCAAGACGTACCTGAAACCTTGCATGTTTATGAGACAGAAAAATGGACACCAACAATCCTATCATCATGTAAAACAATTACAGGCTTTCGTTTTACACTCACTTGGCAGGACGGTAGTACCTCTCTGGCCGGTTGCTGTCTACCAACCTACTACTTAGGATGATACCATTCATATTAACATAAAAAAATTCATGTCTGCAGCAGTGCTTGACAGGTAAAATGGCATCATTATCACTTAAAAAATTTTCAAAGAAAATAGACAGAATGCTCCCTTTAATTTTGTGTTATTGCAGTTGCAGGTCTAATATCACCTGTCAGTAACAGCAGCACAGATGGGCCTTGCATATCTTCACCTCAAGATAACTACCTGGAGATGGCTAGCCCTTCTGAGCGCACCAGTGTTGCTCTTGGTTCCCATCCAGAGCGAGGGGCTTATCTATGTATGGATAGAATTCAGTCCCAAGCACATGGAGGCTCATCTCATGAAAACTCTGGATATTTGTCAATGGGGCCCCTTAATTCCCCTGGATCTATTCTTCCTGCCTGGCTGTCTCATTCCTCTAGTCAGGTAATAGATACCTGTGTAATTTAATGGATTTCTTTTCTGTAAATTTTTATAGCTAAGTTTGATACACCGGTGAAACACTCACTAGGTAAGGGAATATAGGAAAATGAAAAGAAGCTGAATTGAAAGGTGAAGGATTAACACACAGAAGAGTTGGGGTTTGAACCCATGGTGAGTTATTCCTAAGACTGGCTCATCCATTCTGACAACTGAAGCAATGGAATTGGCCTAAAATAGGACTTAGATTTGGTGAAATCAATGGTCTATAAATTCTATTGAGACTTCTAGCTTTGTGCCAGCTTAATTCCATAAGTTTTTCTCAAATTTCGTACTTCTGGTGTCATTATCTTCTGAAAACAATTCTCTGGCATTTCATAAGATTTTTTTTTGTGTGTGTGTGGGGGGGGGGGGGATTATTGGACCATGAGAACAAGTTTCAGATCAGGAGTCTGGACCCTGAAGGGGTCCAGATGTGACCCACTTCTCTCAGATACCACCTAGGTTCCTATTTATTATTAGGTGAACAGGCATAAGGAAACATACCCAGCATCATCACCAGCCTCAGGAATGAACTGGTCATTTAGTTGAGCTGAAAATTTTACCACTCGGGTCACAAGCAGTATTAAGAATCATAGCAGTGTGTTTAGTGTTTATGTATTAGAGGTAATGCTTGATGTGTGTCAACACACAGTAATTACATAATAAAATTTGTTGCCTTTCAGAGCAGATGTAACAATTAAGGAGCAAAAGTGATACCTATTTTATAAGAAAAAGTGATTTAGTTAAACTCTGTCTGATTTTCAGGTATCTTCACCACCACAGTCTGCTTGCCATTCACGTATCTCCAGTCTGGTAGATGACACCACTGACAGTTACCTGTCCATGGTACCTGGAGGTCAAGTAGGGGACATTGGTGCTGGTGAGAGCAGTGCTCAAGACCGTTCAGATGGCTACTTAGATATGACTCCCACGCCTGCTGTTCCTACGCCCATTCCTTATAGCCCATCTGATGGTATGATTTTCATGTTGGATATTCCAATAAGCTGTTCAGTTACTATATTACTAATAGTACAGGCTGAGAGTGATCTATGTAATTTGTAGTAAGTGGCTAGAATTTGTTAGGCAAATCTAGTACAAATTTTACTAACTAATTTCTCTCTCCCACCAAGGTAGGGTGATTCAGAAAAAAATGGAAAAGCATTTACCATCATTAATTCAATCACTATCTAACCTGAATTATGCTAATATTACAGTTCAGATTATCCTTTGACTGCAACATCCCTGCCCCTCCTTCAGAGTGCAAAAGCCACCCTTCCCTCTTCCGGAACTCAAGTCCTGGATGAATAATTGAGCAAAATCTGTTGCGCTAAGTTCTGTAGTACATTTTCCTTGATCTATTGTTAAGCTGATAATGTCCAAAGTTAGATCTTTTGAATTGTTTGGAAAAATTTAATCAATAATAAATGTTTGAGAAAACAACTATTGACACTACAAATCCTACAAAATGTCTAGAAATTATCAATATCTTATGAATATCTTTTAATGCAGGTTGTTTCTCACAAAGGCAGGGATATTTTTTTTTTTTTTTAACAAGTCGGCCGTCTCCCACCGAGGCAGGGTGACCCAAAAAGAAAGAAATAAAGGAATATCTGATAATATTAAATGAATTTTATCATTCTGGAGAACATACACTTGATCCCTACATGACATTAGCATGTATTTGACACCTCGTCTCTCAGAATGACCCCCCCTCAAAGAAGTTATCACCTGTGACCCCTAACTCTGGCAAAGAAAACTTCTCAAGAAATCTCTTACATAACTGTTACTCTATATACATTGATGTCTATACACAAATGCACTTTGCCAGAAAAGAATTACATGACCCAAGTTGAGTTGGGTATAACAACTAAAGATTTCATTTCTGTTGAATTCTTAACCATCTTGATGGCATATGACTCCTTAAAAATGACTGATATTGTGTGATCCTAAATGCTCTGAACTTGCATATTGTAGTGACTTAAAAAGCATGCTCATTGGTGAGGCTGCATATAGATTTTTTTTTTTAACAAGTCAGCCATCTCCCACTGAGGCAGGGTGACCCAAAAAGAAAGAAAATCCCCTAAAAGAAAATTCTTTCATCATCAATCAACGCTTTCACCTCACTCATACATAATCACTGTTTTTGCAGAGGTGCGCAGAATACAACAGTTTAGAACATATACGTATGAAGATACACAACATATCCCCCCAAACTGCCAATATCCCAAACCACTCCTTTAAAGTGCAGGCATTGCTCTTCCCATTTCCAAGACTCTAGTCCAGCTATATAAAAATAACCGGTTTCCCTGAATCCCTTCACTAAATATTACCCTGCTCACACTCCAACAGCTCATCAGGTCCCAAATACTATTCGTCTCCATTCACTCCTATCTAACACGCTCATGCACGCTTGCTGGAAGTCCAAGCCCCTCGCCCACAAAACTGCCTTTACCCTCTCCTTCCAACCTCTTCGAGGACGACCCCTACCCCGCTTTCCTTCCCTTACAGATTTATATGCTCTCCATGTCATTCTACTTTGATCCATTCTCTCGGAATGACCAAACTACCTCAACAACCCCTCTTCAGCCCTCTGACTAATATTTTTATTAACTCCACACCTTCTCCTAATTTCCACACTCTGAATTTTCTGCATAATATTTACACCACACATTACCCTTAGACAGGACATCTCCACTGCCTCCAACCTCTCCTCGCTGCAGCATTTACAACCCAAGCTTCACACCCATGTAAGAGTGTTGGTACCACTATACTTTCATACATTCCTGTCTTTGCCTCCATAGATAACGTTTTTTGTCTCCACATACACCTCAACGCACCACTCACCTTTTTTCCTTCATCAGTTCTGTGATTAATCTCATCCTTCACAAATCCATCCACTGACACGTCAATTCTCAAATATCTGAAAACATTCACTTCTTCCATACTCCTCCTCTCTAATTTGATATCCAATTTTTCTTTATCTAAATCATTTGATACCCTCATCACCTTACTCTTTTTCTGTGTTCACTTTCAACTTTCTACCTTTACACAAACTCCTAAACTCGTCCACTAACCTTTGCAGTTTTTCTTTAGAATCTCCCACAAGCACAGTATCAGCAAAAAGTAACTGTGTCAATTCCCATTTTGTATTTGATTCCCCATAATTTAATCCCACCCATCTCCCAAAAACCCTAGCATTTGCTTCTTTTACAACCCCATCTATAAATATATTAAACAACCATGTTAACATTACACATCCCTGTCTAGGACCTACTTTTACCGGGAAGTAGTCTCCCTCTATTCTACACACACTAATCTGAGCCTCACTATCCTCATAAAAAATGCCTTACAGCATTTACTAGCTTACCACCTATTCCATATACAGTGGTCCCTCGTTTTTCGTAGTTAATCTGTTCCTGGAGTTGCTACTATTATCGAAATCTATGATTTGCGAATCAATTTTCCCCATAAGAAATAATGTAAATACAATTAATCCGTTCCTGACACCCAGAAGTATTAAAACAAAAATTTTTTTTACATGAAATATAGATGTAGTACATAAACAATACAATGAGAAATGATGAATGAAACATTAACAGCATAACACTTACCTTTATTGGAGATTCTTCTTAGTGTATGGGAGACTGGAGGAGGAGGAGAGAGATTGGATTGTTTACAGTTTGGAAGGGGAATCCCCTTCCAGAAACACCTCAGGCACCAATTGCTTTTCTGGGGTTGCTTCTCTTCTCTGTTTCTTAATGCCACTAGGACCACCTTGAGAGTCACTGGAGTCCTGTCTCACAAAATAACTGTGGAGAGAGCTCTGTTTCTGGCGTCTCTTTAACACTTCCCTAAAATGGCCCAAGACTTTGTCACTGTACATGTTGCCAACATGGCTTGCAACAGCCTTGTCAGGGTGATGTTTCTCCATAAATCTTTCCATCTTACCCCACATAGCAAAAATCTCTTTAATTTCTGAAAAAGGCACCTTCTTCCATCTCTCTTCTTCCTCCTCTGCAGCAAGATTCTAAGCTGCGATCTGTTGCTGTTCCTGCTGAAGCTCTTGCAGCTCCTCAGTGGTGAGCTCTTCTTTACCACAGGCTTGGCACTAGGAGCTTTCATTGGAGCCATGGTAGCTTATTTAGTACTTGCAAGCACTAAAATGAGTGGAATATTATAAAATATTTCGTAGGAGCACGTGAGGGGACCTTCACTCACTGGTAAACAATGCCAGACTGGCTGGTTAGGGAGGCTGCCCCGGCTCACACCGTGCGTACACGTCCCGGACGAACTACTATTCGCGAGTCAACCTATGATTAGCGAGCCCATGTTTATACGAAAATATTCCTATGATTTCCGAAATCTATGATTCCCGAGAACTACGAAAAGCGAGGGACCACTGTACCTGCAAAATCTGCCACATTGCTCCCCTATCGACTCTATCATATGCCTTTTCTAAATCTATAAGTGCAGTGAAAACTTCCATACCTTTATCTAAATACTGTTCACATATATGCTTCATCTAGGTAGTAGGTTGGTAGACAGCAACTGCCCAGGGAGGTACTACCGTCCTGCCAAGTGAGTGTAAAACGAAAGCCCGTAATTGTTTTACATGATGGTAGGATTGCTGGTGTCCATTTTTCTGTCTCATAAACATGCAAGGTTTCAGGTATGTCTTGCAATTTCTACTTACACTTAGGTCACACTACACATACATGTACAAGCATATGTATACACACCCCTCTGGGTTTTCTTCTATTTTCTTACTAGTTCTTGTTCTTGTTTATTTCCTCTTATCTCCATGGCGAAGTGGAACAGAATTCTTCCTCCGTAAGCCATGCTTGTTGTAAGAGGCGACTAGAATGCCAGGAGCAAGGGGCTAGTAACCCCTTCTCCTGTATATATTACTAAATGTGAAAGGAGAAACTTTTGTTTTTCCTTTTGGGCCACCCCGCCTCGGTGGGATACAGCCGGTGTGTTGAAAGAAAAGACTTAGGTCATGCTACACATACATGTACAAGCATATAAATACACACCCCTTTGGGTTTTCTTCTATGTTTTTACTAGTTCTTGTTTTTGTTTATTTCCTCTTACCTCCATGGGGAATGGAACAGCATTCTTCCTCCGTAAGCCATGCATGTTGTAAGAGGCGACTAAAATGAGAGGAGCAAGATGCTAGTAACCCCTTCTCCTGTATATGTTACTAAATGTAAAAGAAGAAATTTTCTTTTTTCTTTTTGGGCCACCCCGCCTCGGTGGGGTATGGCCGGTGTGTTGAAAGAAAGACATATATATACTTCAATGTAAACACTTGTTCTACACATCCCCTACCCACTCTAAAACCTCCTTGCTCATCCACAATCCTTCATTCTGTTTTACCTCTAATTCTTTCAGTAATAACCCTACCATACACTTTTCCTGGTATACTCAGTAAACTAATTCCTCTCTAATTTTTACAATCTCTTTTGTTTCCCTTCCATATAAAGGAACTATACATGCTCTCTGCCAGTCCTTAGGTATCTTCCCCTCTTCATACATTTATTAAACAAAAATACTACCCACTCAAACACTATGTCCCCCCCTGCTTTTAACATTTCTCTCATGATCCCGTCAGTTCCAGTTGCTTTACCCCCTTTCATTCTGTGTAATGCCTCAGGCACCTCCCCCCACACTCACATCCTGCTCTTCTTCACTCCTAAAAGATGGTATACCTCCCTGGCCAGTGCATGAAATTACTGCCTCCCTTTCTTCATCGACATTTAAAAGTTCCTCAAAATATTCCCGTCATTTACCCAATACCTCTATCTCCCCTACTCTGTTTTTAACTGACAAATCCATTTGTTCCCTATGCTTTCTTAACATGTTTAACTCTCCCACTCTATCATCTGCTCTCCTTTTGCACTCTCTCATCACTCTCTTCACCTTTCTTTTACTCTCCATATACTCTGCTCTTCTTATAACACTTCTGCTTTC